GGTGGTCTCGCTCTTGCTCAGGCTGGTCTCGAACTCCTGACCTCGAGCAATCCTCCAACCTCGGCCTCCCAGAATGCCGGGATGACAGGCGTGAGCCACCACCGCGCCCGGCCTCAGCAGCATTTTAATAGCGACCCCAGACCCCCCCAACCGGCCACCAGGCAGTCCCCCCTGTGGCACGGTGTCAGGGACATCTATGGGCGTTTTGGGGCGATGCCATTGTCACCACGCGCGTGTCAGTCAGCCACTCAGGTTCTAAACACGGTTCCCAAGACGGGGACCTTCTTTCATCAACCTGCCTCAGCCTGTCTGACCTCCTTCCGTGTCCCCACACCTGTCGCCTAGGAACTGTGACTTCACAAAGCACAGGTTTCCAAGGCTCTCTTCTCCCATCCCAGCTGTTCAGACTCTGCAATTGGACATTCAGTTCCAGAACTCTCTCTTCCCTCCCCGCCCACAGTTCCTGGGACTGTTGTCTGGGTCTGACTCTCTGTGTGTGTGAGTTGATTTCCCCTTTCTGATTTTTTTTTCCTGGCTACTGGACTGTTTTAAGGGTGGTGAGGCCAGGGATCTGGCCAAGGCCTGTTCTCCTGGCCTTAATAAGTGGGACTGGGAGGCCCGGCGCGGAGGCTCACGCCTGTCATCCCAGCACTCTGGGAGGCCGAGGCGGGAGGATCAGCTGGAGGTCAGGGGTTCGAGACCAGCCTGAGTGAGAGCGAGACCCCCCGTCTCTACTAAAAGATGGAAAGAAGCAAGGGCGATATATGTAACCTTAACATTTGTACCCCCATCATATGCTGAAATTTAAAAAATTAAAAAAATAAATAGAAAGAAATTAATTGGCCACTAACGAAATATAGAAAAATCAGACGGGCGTGGTGGTCATGCCTGTTAGTCCCAGCTACTCGGGAGAGAGCTGGCAGGAGGATCGCTTGAGCCCGGAGTTGGAGGTTGCTGTGAGCAGAGGCTGACGCCACGGCCACTCACTCTAGCCTGGGCCGACAGAGTGAGACTCTGTCTCAAAAAATGATAATATAAAATAAATAAAAAATAAAATAACCATAAATAAAAATATATATAAATAAAATAAAAATAAATAAATAAAAATAAAAAATATAATAAAATAAAAATAAAAAATAAAAATGAAAAGTAAAATAAAATAAATACATATAAATAAAATAATAATATAATAAAATAAAAAGTAATAAAATAAATTAAATAAAATAAAAATAAAATAAAATAAAACAAAATAAAAAATAATATTAATTATAAAAAATAATCAATAAATAGAATTAAAATGTTAGGTTAAAATAAAATTAATATAATAAAATAATAAATAACAAAATAAAAATAAATGAAATATAAAATATAATTAAAATAAAATAAAAACAAAATAAAATAAAATAAAATATAAAAATAAATCAATAAATAAAAAAAATAAAAATAAATATAAATAAAATGATTAATTAAATAAAATTAAATAAAAA